ACTAGATGGTGCCCAGCGATCTGACAGAATCGCGTCTGGGGTCTCAACGGCTTGTTTCCAAGCAAGCAACCATTTAAGTAAGATGTCAACTAAGTCCACATCTGTGATCCAAGGCTTGTGAATTATATCATCCAAAGCCGGAGAAGGGAATAGTGTAGGCTCTCTTAAACTGGAAGACTCTGGTTTGCAGGCTATGGATGACAATGAACGTCCATGATACATTTGGGAGAACTACATGGTGATTTCCCTCTAACCGAAATTGAGGGATGGGGATAAACTGGTTATCAAAGAGTGCATTGCAGAGATGACCATAGGAGATCAAAATGATAAACCTGATTTGACAAATTAAAACCTTGTCACTTGATTCCCCTCTCTGATACACTTTGGGCCTGATCTGGTTTTCAATAACTTCTGTGTGTGTGTGTGTGTGTGTGTGTATGTTTGATGTTGAGATTCATCTCTAATATATTTTGCCATTAAGGGTAGTCTTCTTGGATCTTTGTTATATGCTCTTCTGTTTTTCGGTTTATGAGACCCAGGATTAATGAACCTATAGCGACAGCAAGTAGAATAAGGGTTCCTGGGGGGGCGGGGGGGGGTGTACATTGGTGGAGGGAGTAAGGGGGAGCTCATATCAAGGAGTTCAAGAAGGAAGAAAATGTTTTGAAACTTAGTGTGTTTCAATTGATATCAATGAACTATGGAAAGGTAACTTCTTTATGAGCTCCCAATAAAATGGTTTTGAAAAAAAGAATGCAAATCTGCTACTTCATTTTGTTAGACAAACTCACGATATTATTTTCTGAATGCCCCAAACCAGACCATGGCCATCGAGTCGATTCCAAGTCACAGTGGCCCGATAGGATAGGATAGAAGTATACGCCACAGGGGCTCTGAGGGGCAATTCTTTCCAGAAGCAGAGACAGGTGGCTTCCAACCACTGGCCTTTGGGTTAGCAGTCCAACTTTACCTATGGTGAATTGGTGCATAAAAATGACTAGATAAGTAATTACTATTTTATAATGACTATAATTACTATTTTTCCCTTTTCCAAAAAGCATCTTAATCACTATTTTGATAGAAGAATATTATTTGCAAGAGGATACAGCCAGATTCAATTTCTACATTGAAGTGAAATGGTTGTGGAATGAAATCTTTGAGAACCGCATTCAAATGTGGGGCCTGATTTGATTCCCTGGCTTTATAATTGATCACTGTTAGGTGTGATTCTGTTGTCATTTCCTGGGGCTGCTGTCAAAATACCCCTGGCTGGCATACATGGTCTCATAGTCGGAGAGGCTGGGGATCTAAGATCAGGGATCACTTTTCTGTTAATTCTCTGGGTGGCGTGCTTCTCCACTCAGGACGAGTTTCTGACAGGCAGGGGCTTCCAAGTCTATCTACACCTACCTCTCTGGTTCCCAGTGTTCAGCAGCATGCCGCCAAGGATCATGGGATACCATGGTTTAAAGGCAGAAGCTGCACAAGAGAGGATCTCTTTAATGTAAATCAGGATCTAGGATTTATCGGGTAAATCATGAGTGTATGTAATCTGGCATCTGAAGATCCCGTCTTCCACGATGATCCAAACATCTGTGATCATTGTGGTGCGTTGCTAACATTGGTTCTAAGAATAGAGGACTGAGAGCAGTAGTAAGAACGATGCTTTCATCGGTGGAGTCTTTATTGGGAAATGTATTTTAGCTCTTTCTCGGGGCAGCTTCATCCTCGCCAAGTCCAACTAGCTTATCAGTGTAAAACGCTTCACAAACATTCAGATATATTCAGGTAAGAGAAGGGCAGAAATTTAATGAATTAAGAGAGAATTTAAGTATTCATTATGTATGCCGAGTCACTCTATATCATGTGTGGAAACACAGCAGGTCAGCAAGTGAGAGGAACATCAAGGAGATGCATTGACACGGTGGCTACAACAATGGGCTCAAACATAACGAAGACTGTGAAGATGGAGAGGATGCAGCACTGGTTCCTTCTGCTGTGCAGTCAGCTCCTCTGGTGCTGTAGTGCTTATGCATTGGGCTGCGATCCACACGGTCGGTAGTTCGAAACCACCAGCAGCTCCTCAGGAGAAAGACTCAGCTTTCTCTGGCTGCAAACCCTTACAGTCTCAGAAACTCATAGGCAGTGGGGGTGCGGGGCTTGTCACTATAAGCCAGCATGAGTTGAGTAGAGAGTCACTGTGAGTCTGAGCAGACTCATGGGCATCTAATCGCCACAGCCATACGTGGCGGAGTTTGCACTGCCACTCAATAAACTCAGAAACGAAATGGGGAAAATGCTGCGCCGGGTGAAGGAAGCCTTCTTGGAACTCCGCAGGGAACCGCGTCCTTTCTCTTTGTGTTCCCGGGATGGGGTCACTCCGGCCAGAGCAGAACCAGCCGGGGAGTGGCCTCGGGGGGCACGAACAAAGAAGGGTGACAGTTCCCGGTGACCTAACGTTACCTTGCAGACTCTATACGCAGGGTGGCGGCTTACATGGGGGCCTGCGGAGGGACAACAGTGCAGCTTTCTCATCTGACCTGTCATTAAATCACACTGAGGTGGCCTGCTGCCTCAAGCCGAACGTGGAGGACATGTCATATGCCCCTGTCTTCCTCTCAGAGGGCTGGACTTGACAGAATTGACCAGGCTTTGCAGACGACGTGCCATCGTGGATGTGGGATGATGACCCCATCTTCCTCATCGGTGACCTGACCTGACACACTAACCAGGCTTGCTGACTTTTTTCTAACATCCATTCTGGGGTATCTTCCTCCCCCAGAACCTTCCTGAGATGGGAATGACCCTTTGGACAGCGCCTTGCAAGCAGGAGCTCCTCAAAAGAGAAACCATACTTCTGGGGGGTGCCACTAACTGAGGCAGGAAGTCAATGATCAACTGTCAGACCCGCGCAGTGCCAGCCCTGAGGGGGTTATAGCTCAGCCGGTGGAGGAGGGGTTTTCTGAGAGAGCAAAGAATTTAAAGGTGTCCGAAACAAATGGATGCATGAGGAGGGTGCCTGGGAGAGATGCCAACCTGCCTCGCGGTGGAGCCCAGCCAGGAGAGAGCAGGCCATAGTCCCTTATGTCCTGACTGGTGAAGTGCTCTTATCAGCAGTGCCTGTGTCTGTCTGGCCAGGCCTTCAGATAAACATGGTGGCAGGCTCTTCCTCCATCTCCATCTGCTAGCAGAGGTCTACCCAATCAAACGACCCCAAACAGTCAAGAATGCTGCTACGCAAATGCATGTGCTCACTGTTACAGATGCCACTGAGGGGGTTCCAGCTCCTTCTCCGCGGTGACTGGATTTGCACCGAGAAGCAGACCTTCTCCAGGACACACACGACAGCTCTGAACCATCAAGTCATCCCATACCTTGTACTTCGGACTCTTTGTTCACATGCTCACTCACTGCCATCAACTCCTTGGGACCTTAGGGGACTGGGTAAACCGCCCCTGTGGGTTTCTGAGACTGTAACTCTTCACAGGAGTAGAAAGCCTCATCGGTCTCCCTCATAGTGGCTGGTGGTACTGAACCACTAACCTTGTCGTTAGCAGCCCAACTCGTAACCCACTACAACACCTTAGCAACCCAACTTTTGACCAGGTCATTTAAGTCACATCACTGCCCCCAAAACAAAGCACAACTGTCTTGGATGCTCGGTGTCTAGAGTTTAAGAAGCACTACCTCTTGGTTATTACTTTCTTAGCTTTTTTTGAAGCATGGGGGTGGGGGTGGGGGGGGGATGCAGGGCAAAGAATAAACTATAAATAAAATATTAAGATGACTCAAGAAATCTCAATAGAAAATTAGGGGAGGTTTTCTTTTGAATACATTAGAAGCGAATTATAATACATATGCTACGTTTCTTATTTAAAAACCATCGAACACATAGGAGACCTGGTGGCAATGTGGGCTAATCTCTAGGCTGCGAACCCAAAGGCCATTGGTCTGAATCCACTAGCCGGGTGAGGCAGTCTGCTTCCAGCCTTGGAAACCCAAAGGGGCAGTTCTACCCAGCCTTACAGGGTCTCTGCCTTGGTACAGGCTCCATGGTGATAGGTCTTGCGTGGCTGACGAATTGCTGGGGTCAAAGGAATTCCAGGCTCTTGGGGTCACCTGGAGAACTAAGAAGCATGCAGTCATTGCTATGCAGTGGCTGCCGGTGACAGCTGCTTAGATCCTCCAGCCTCGCTCACAGACCCTCTCACCCCCTGAGTTCCCGGGGCCTCTGGGATGCTGCTGGTCTGTGAGCTGTCCTTTCCATGGCCTGCTGGTGCCCATCAAACAAAACGCGTCCTTTTTGGCTACAATGAAAATGCTTACTTTTCATCCTCCACCTAAGAAAACGCATAATGAAGTCAAGTATGCGGCCCTGTTGACATGGTGCCTTACTAGTTAGGCTGCTAACTGCAAGGGCAGCATTCAAACCCACGAGCGGCTCCCAGGGAGGAGGAGGAGACTTTCTCCTCCTATAAAAATGCACAGGCTCAGAAACCCACAGGGGCAGTTCGACCCTGTCTTATAAGATCCTAGTAGTTGCCAAAGACTAGAAGGCAGTGAGTTTGAGACAGAAAACTTCCATCAACTAAAGGTGCCTGCAGGTGCAGCAGGTTATGAGTTGGGTTGCTAACCTCGATTCAAGGTCTGCAGTTTGAGACCACCAGCCGTTCCATGGCAGAAAGATGAGGCTTTCTAGTCCCACGAAGGGCTACAGTCTTGCAAGCCCCCTGGGGAAAGTTCTAGCCCATGCTGCAGGGTGCCTCTGAGCCAGAACGGACCAATGGCAGAGAGTCTGGGGTGGATTCTGCTGGCATACGTATTGAGCAGTGGGGCCACCTGTTCCCACTTCCTGTCTTACAGCCCACGGCCTCATCCGCATTCCACTTTCTAGACGAGAATGGTTCATTGGCAGCCAGGGAGTTCGGGGAGGACACGGAGACAGACACCAGGAGAAGCCCGAGTGGTGGAAGGAGGCGCACAGCGCAGCGAGGACTGACCTTAGGCACCCGGTAGCATTGCGCAGCACCTGCGAGGAATGCAGCTGCAGTTTCCGGTCGTCCTGCAGGGCCGAGTTTTCCCAGCCAGAGTGCGGGATGATCACGGCATTGGTCAGCACTGCCAGGGCGTCCTGGATGATGGGCATTTTGAGGGCATCGCATGACGAGAGGTTCCAAAGGACGCCTGTAATGAGACACGCAGAAAACCTTTGTGAGTCATCAGCAAAGTTTCCAACCGCCCCAAACAATTCGCCTTGTTGTAGGTAGCAAGGTTGGCAGGGAGGGCTAAGCGTGTGCAGACAGGCATCCAGAGATGAACCTTTAATGTAAAGCATCCATGTGACGCTGCTGAAAATGTAGCAAATAAGCTCCACCAGTGTAGTGGCTACCCATCGGCTGCTAAGCTCAAGGTCAGCAGTTCCAAACCACCAGCTCCTCCTCAATAAAAAGATGAGGGCTTCTATTACAGCAGTGGTTCTCAACCTTCCTAATGCCACGACCCTTTAATGCAGTTCCTCATGTTGTGGTGACCCCCCAACCATAAAATTTTTTTCGTTGCTACTTCATCACTGTCATTGTGCTACTGTTATGAATTGGAGGCCCCTGTGAAAGAGTTGTTCAACCCCCAACGGTTGAGAACCACTGGGTTACAGTCTCAGAAACCCACTGGGGCAATTCCTCCCATCCTCCAGGATTGTTAGGAGCCGGAATGGACTCGATGTCAGAGAGGTTTGGAGAGGCAGGGAACTTGAGATCGGATTATCTCTGGGTCGTGATGGAGAGTAACCTAAGCGGAGAGGCTGGAGGAACCAAGGATGTGGACCAGGCGCCCCCTTGTCATGAAATCAATGAGTGGGAGGTGCCGAATTCCGCATCTGAGAAGAACATCAAGTAGAAAGGCAGCAAAAACCAGGTAGATACTCAGCGAGAGGGATTGAGAGTGGCTGCAACAATGGGTTCAAAGGCAACAACCTTCATGGAGACAGCTCAGAGGGATGTTTCGTTCTGTTGTGCAGAGGGTCACGTGAGTCTGAACGGACTCAAGGGCACCTAACAACAGCAACAGCCAACAAACCCAAGAGACATGAAAGTCATTGCAAGTGGACCAGAAAGACTTGGAGGTCTAGGTCCCCCAAAATCCTCGACAGAAATCCCGTTGAGCAGAGTTCTCTGACCCGCATGGGGTCGCCCTGACTTGAACTCTCATTACCAGCCACTCCGGGAAAAACAGAGCAGAGCATCTCTTTTCCTCTTGTTAATAGATTTCTAGGCACGTACTTCACATAGCATACAATTCTACTGGAGCACCTCTGTCTCCAGCCACGAGCTAGGGTGACCTCTGTGAGCCCAGCCCACCAGCGGGGAGAATCCTAGGGGAACCAGAACCAGCTCTGATGACTCCTGGGTCAAAAAGAAGTTGAAATTGACCGTCACTTGCAACAGCTTTGTCAGCGTTTCCCTGAAAGCAATGCACAAAGAGAGTCTGCAGAAGCTTCGGTCTTAGAGACCTTCAAAGGGTCCAGGGGGAAAGTGGATGGAGGGCACATTGGCAAAGGACAGAGTGTAAGCATGACCGGTGTCAGCGGAGCAAAAGCAACATGTGGGGAATTGACAGAATATTTGTTTGAGGCTTTATGTTTTTTTATTAAAAGAGAATTTGAAAATGAGACTAACATTTTGAAGAGCAGTATTGCACATGTGTGATGTCAGCATTTGAAAATGCCTTCTTAAAGTAGTGATTTTTACACCTTCTCTAGGGGATATATCCAGCAGAGGGATAGCTGGACCTTGGGGAATTCCTCACACCAAACTCACGGAACTCACGGCCATCCAGTGCTTGGTACTTTCTCACTGGCATGGAGTCCATGCTGACCCTCCAGGGCAGGGTAGAACTGCCCATGAGTATAAAGACCCATCTTTCTCCTTCAGAGAAGCTGGTAGTTTCAAACTACAGACCTTGTGTATTGCAGACCAACGCATCGCCACGCCACCACCAAGCTCCAAACCAAACTCACTGCTTCGAATCAATGCTGACTCACAGACACCCACTGTGGGTTTCTGAAGCTGTAACTGCTTATGGCAGTAGAAAAACCTATCTTTCTCCCTCTGAGGTGCTTGGTGGTTTAGATTTGCTGGCCACGGGGATCGCAGCCCAACTTGTAACCACTGTACCAGCAGGGCTCCTTTCACTGAACATTGAATAAGGAGGACCGAAGAAGAATCAGTGCATTTGATCTGTGGTTCTGACGGAGGATACTGAAAGTACGATCAACTGCTGAAAGGACAAACCTTCTTGGAAGAAGTACAGCCAGAGCGTTCCTTAGAGGCCAGCATGACCTCTAAGACTTCATCTCACATCAATGGGCTATGTTGTCAGGAGAGACAGTCCCTGGAGAAGGACATCACGCTGGGAGAAGGGAAGGGCAGGGGGGAAAAGGCGGTCTTCAACGAGACGTCCTGACACAGGGGCTGCAGCAATGGGCTGAGGTACGGGAACCACCGTGAGGATGGAGCAGGACTGGGCAGTGTTTTGTGCATAAGGTCACTAGGGGTTGGAACAGACTCGACAGCACCTAACAACAATACGAATGGCTCTTCCAAGTTGCTTGCGGTGGTGCCGTGCCGCTTTCACAGGGTTGGACACACTGGAGCACTGCCGACCTAGCAAGAAGATGCCTGTCAGTCGAAGAATGGCTAAAGAAGCTCTGCGGCATGCACGCAGTGCCACACTGGGCATCACTACAAAACCGTGGAAACCATGAAGCACCGCACAGCATGGGGGACGTCAAGCAGGGGGACGTCACACCGAGTGAAGGAAGTCAGTCACAAAAAGACAAACATTGTATTTGACCACTGATATCAGGGGGAGCAAACACAACGGAGACAAAGGCTCTTATGCCAAAGGAACAGACTTTGAGGTTGCCAAGGAGTGGGGAGGGCACGAGGGGAGAGAAGATGCCACAGACTAAAGGGTTAGCAGGTAAGACACATCAAAAGAGGGGCGTAGGGAAGCTACTGAGGGGTTGATTCATAGTTAAAGCAGTTGAATACGAAACTGAGGATCTTAAATATTCAAACTTTAAATGAATGCACAATTTAAAAAAAATCACTCTAAGAAGGAAAAGTAATGGCCCAATATGGTGCATAAAAGAGAGGAAAGGTAGAGAATTCTATTTTATTTTCCTCTAAGGGGGCACCTGGGCCCTGACGACTCACTTGGGCCGATACATCATTGAGGATGTGGTGAAGACAACACAGCAGGTAGCTTTCCAAACACACCTTCAAGTGTCCTCAATTAGCAAGCTTCCATTATATTGTGATTACAATAAAATTTAGGTGAGCCACACTCCCATATCTGCCACAGTGAACTAGCCAAAGGCATTCATAGTATGAATTGGAAAGTTGATCGTGTTTGACTGCTTAGGACGAAATGAACTGCCAGACAGCTTGTGATCCATTCTCTGGAAATGGAGCAGTGGAGGCAGTCTTCCAGTTGCCTCCAGAAAGGCAGCGATGCTTACTGGGAGTTTTGTTGAGCGAGCGAAATGCAAAAGGAATGAAACTTCCATTGGGCCCAGCATGCAGAAATCAATCTTTTAGTAGAGGAAGGTGGCGGACCACAGTCCCAGGGCAAATCCAGTAGGCCTTGCTTTTATAAATAAAGCTTTATTGGAACACAGCCACATTCATTTATTTGTGTATTGTCTGTGGCTGTTTTGGGCACCGAAAGAGCACACCTCAATGTTTTTGATGCAGACAAAGCATTTACTACCTGACCCTTTATAGAACAGGTTCACCTACCCTCCTTTGGGGGTGGAGTCCCTCAAACTCAAACTCACGGCTGCAGAGTCAGTTCCGACTCATAGCGATTCTATAAGACAGGGTCGAATGCCTCTGGGTTTCCTGGACTGTACCTCTTTACTAGAGTGGAAGGCCTCACTTTCTCTTGGGGAGCGACTGATGGCTAATCTTGCATTTTACAGCCCAATGGGTAGCCCGTTTTGCCACCAAATTTCCTTAAAGTAAAAATGAATGTTTGGCCCAGCATTTTAGGATGACATATAAGAATATCACTTACAACTTTTTGTATGTGTTTTTCTAAGTTTACCAGGTGACTGTGCACAGGGCTCTAGTTTGCACATGCATGGGTTTACTCCAAGCCTAACCTGTTTACATAGGTCTCTGTGCTCAGTGGATGAATGCAGACAAGGTCTGTCAGTAACGCACTTGTCTTGCCCTTGGTAGGGGACCTTGTAAAACACACACACAGAGACACACACACGTGCGCGGGAAAAGTTCATTCAAAACGGTGACTTCTGAGGAGATCAACTGGGCCAGTTCAATTCAAGGCAGAGAGGTCAATTCAGAAAGCCATGGTGGTTGTTTGGGGGGACTACCAATGAGTAATCAGGAAAGGTGTGCAGCAGGGTTGTACTCACTCACCACTTACTCAATCCGTCTGCTAGGGAAATAATCAAAGTGGGATTATATGAGGAAAAAGGCTGCATCAGGATTGGAGGAAGGATTATTGACAACCTGTGATATGCAGACGACACAACCTTGCTGGCTGAAAGTGAGGGGGATTTGCAGTACTTCCTGATGAAGATCAAAGATTGCAGTCTTCCATGTGGATTACAACTCACAGTAAAGATAATTAAAACCCTCAAAACTGGACCAGTAGGTAACATCATGATGCATAGGAAACGATTCAAATTATTCAGGATCTCCTCTTGCTTGGGGCTACAATCAATGCTCTTGGAAGCAGTAGTCAAGAGAAGAAACAACACCTTGCATTAGGTACATGTGCTGCACAAGACCTCCTTGGAGTATTGAAAAGCAAGAGTCACTTTGAGGACTCAGGTGCACCTGACCCAAGCCATGGTATTTTAAATCAACTCAAAT